GACAGACAGACAGACAGACAGACAGATATAGATAGACAGACAGACAGACAGACAGGTAGATGGATAGATAGGCAGACAGACAGAGAGAGAGATAGACAGACAGACAGACAGACAGACAGACAGATATAGATAGACAGACAGACAGACAGACAGATATAGATAGACAGACAGGTAGATGGATAGACAGACAGGCAGGTGGTTTGTAATAATCAGTAAAACACTGTGAATGAAACTGTTTAAAGCTGTGTGTGATTAGAGTTTATTCCACAGATCTGTAGCCAATATAAACCCTTTACAGTTAAACTGATAAATCTATCAGGACTCTGATTCGCTGCTCCACCTCTCCCGTTTGTGGATGTCGTTATGAAGATCTCTTACTACGTGTGAATAATTCAGTAATTAACTCAGAACAGATTTATTAAATTTGATGAGTCAGTCTCGGCTCCCTTTGGTTCAGTCTTTACTCCACAGGAAGACGTTCAGGTTTCCCAGAATGATCTGTTTCTGACCCGTACAGGGAGGTGTGTTCAGCGCCGTGCTGATCAGCTGGTTTAGGGCTGTGTGAAGTTTATTGGTTATTGATCAGTCAGAGCAGCTGACCGAGTCCATTACTGAGTTCAGGAGCAGGACAGCAGCAGGTCAGGACAGGCGTGTGTAGAGGACAGCAGGCCCAGACTGTTCGATAACTCTGTGTCAGTGAGCAGAACTGCAGTGTAACTGTGAATGTCTCTCTCTCTCTCTCTCTCTCTCTCTCTCTCTCTGTAGGAGGGCTTGGACGGCCTGCTGCAGATCCTGGTGACCCAGCTGGGCTCTGATGACCTGAACATGCTCACCTGTGCTACAGGTATCCTCAGTAATCTGACCTGTAACAATGCGCGGAACAAGGCCCTGGTGTGTCAGAGCGGGGGGGTGGAGGCGCTGATCCACGCCGTGCTGAGGGCGGGGCAGAAGGAGGACGTGTGCGAGCCGGCCGTCTGCGCCCTCAGACACCTCACCAGCCGACACGCGCACGCAGAACTGGCCCAGAATGCCGTGCGGCTGCACTACGGGATCCCCGCCATCACCAAGCTGCTGGGACAGCCGTACTACTGGCCTGTGGTGAAGGTCAGTGCGACAGACCGCAGTGCGGCTAGTTTAGAACCCACTGAGCTGTTAATGGAATAACTCTAGAATGTAATGCTGCTCACATGAACCAACGAGGGGATTGATGAAGTTAGAACCCGGTTCTGTTTAAACCGGGGAGCTGATTATTATTATTTACTACTGTAGAACTCGGCTGATGAGCTAGCTAACAGGCTAAACTGCCCCTCCATTAACTTCACAGGCTTTAATTTACACTGTTACTACTTTTATTATTACTTTATGATTCACTGAAAAACGACTGAATGTTTAATGTCTTACATGAGTTACATGTCTGTGTTTTAGACAGATCTGTTTTAAATACTGTAGTGTATTACAGTCTGTCAGAGTGACTGTGTGGATCATATGAACATTATAGAGCTTTTTAAATGAAACAGTAGAAGCCATATCGCCCCCTACACTTCCTGTAGTGTATTACAGTCTGTCAGAATGACTGTGTGGATCATATGAACATTATAGAGGCTTTTTAAATGAAACAGTAGAAGCCATATCGCCCCCTACGCTTCCTGTAGTGTATTACAGTCTGTCAGAGTGACTGTGTGGATCATATGAACATTATAGAGCTTTTTAAATGAAACAGTAGAAGCCATATCGCCCCCTACGCTTCCTGTAGTGTATTACAGTCTGTCAGAGTGACTGTGTGGATCATATGAACATTATAGAGCTTTTTAAATGAAACAGTAGAAGACATATCGCCCCCTACACTTCCTGTAGTGTATTACAGTCTGTCAGAGTGACTGTGTGGATCATATGAACATTATAGAGCTTTTTAAATGAAACAGTAGAAGCCATATTGCCCCCTACGCTTCCTGTAGTGTATTACAGTCTGTCAGAGTGACTGTGTGGATCATATGAACATTATAGAGCTTTTTAAATGAAACAGTAGAAGACATATCGCCCCCTACACTTCCTGTAGTGTATTACAGTCTGTCAGAGTGACTGTGTGGATCATATGAACATTATAGAGCTTTTTAAATGAAGCAGTAGAAGCCATATCGCCCCCTACACTTCCTGTAGTGTATTACAGTCTGTCAGAGTGACTGTGTGGATCATATGAACATTATAGAGCTTTTTAAATGAAGCAGTAGAAGCCATATCGCCCCCTACACTTCCTGTAGTGTATTACAGTCTGGCAGAGTGACTGTGTGGATCATATGAACATTATAGAGCTTTTTAAATGAAACAGTAGAAGTCATATCGTTGTTGCAGATTTGAGCATCTGTGCTCAATTTGAGGAGCAAATTAGTTTTAATCTAATTAACCCACTTCTTATAATAATAATTATAATTATTAAAATATTTTATTAACTGAGTGTCCCGTAAGTCTTTGTGCTCTGGTGTGGTTAGTTTATTAGCTTTTCAATATCATTCATAAGCTTTATTTGATGCAGATGCTCGGATAGTAAACCTTTGCCTTGCTCGTTGGTCTTCTTTTCATGTCAGATGCATTGCATTATGGGTAAATATGAGTGTGTATTATTTGTGGAGCTGATCTCTGCTGTGGGTGAAAAAACTGTGCTTAATGAGTCAAAAGTTTGGGTTCAGATTAGCATTACACTGTAATATAATACACTGTGCTGTGTGAGTGATGTTAGAGGCAGTGCTGGTGGTGCTGTTCTAGATCGAGGGTCAGTTCTGCGGTTCTTCCTTTAAGAGCTCAGTGTCCTCAGTGTTCTTTGAGCTCTTCAGTGGTTTATGTTGGAGTGTATGTTGGTGTTGCTCGGCTGTGATTGGTCGCTGCAGGACAGAACCTGTGATCCTGTCTCGGTGTCACGCATGATCTGCTGCTCAATTGCATCAGAGCGCTGGAGCAGAAGCCCGAGAGGGCTGAGATCGTCAGCAGCAGATCGATCCAGAAAACACTCGTCTTTTTGCTCCTGCGCTCGTTCTGCCTTCAGCAGAAATGAAATTAAAGCACGTTAGTGATGTTGTAGATGTTCGTGTGCATCACTGACAGTTCGTTCAGATTGTGAATCGGGGGTGTTTAACGTCTGGCACAGGTTTAGCACCATCATGGCTGCATCCACCATAAGGGTGACGTGGGCGGCTGCCCAGGGGCGCCAAAGCATTGCTCCCAAAAAAAGTGCACATTTGAAATGATTTTATTGATCTAATTAGTTATATAGAACATTCAGTTTACATTAAATCCATAATCTATTCACACAGCACAACAGTCAGTCTAATAATCCAGCCATGAATATCCAACAAGCATTACCACTGCATAACAGTGCGTGTTAGGGGTGGGGCAAAAATCGATACAGCATAGTATCACGATATTTTAACTGGCAATATTGTATCGATACACAACGTATTGATATTTGATAATATAAATGTACAGTTTTAAGATAAGATCAGATAAACCTCTATTAGTACAACAGGGAAATTCACATTGTTAATTCTCATCATTATTCTCATTATTAATTATTATAGAAGGTTACAGTTTGTTACTTGTTACTATATAGACAATATATACTTATATAATACTAAAGATAAAATATATAAGATAAAAAAAATAAACTCTACACTTCACAAACTCTATTCACAAAAATTAACAATATAAACATTATAAATACAAAAGCAAAAAATATTTACTGTAAGGATATTTTACCCGAATTACACATGGAGTATTGATTATATTACACATGGGAATGGTGATGAATTAACACTATAACCATTATAAATAGAGAAACAGTCAGTCTGTCTGCTTGATAATCACATTTTGCCACAATAAAATTGAATGAAGTGAACGGACTGAAAACTTTATCTCATTGGATTAAACACATTGACAAAGTTTTCCTTTGGGGCCGAAATCTGAAGTTGAAAAAAGGTAATAAATCATATCTCAGCATGTTATCGCCGTACTCAGCATACTGCAGTATTGTTAACATCGCAGTAATATCATATTGTGACTGAAGTATCGCGATGATGGCGTATCGTGGGGTCTTTGGTGATTCCCACCCCATTACATGTTCACTTGCACTTTTTCTCACCGCATTTCAAAATATTTCATAAAAGCAATTCGTAGTCATTATAAATAACCACTTAGTGATTGTCTGTGTCCTGTTTTAAATGATACAGTAGTTAATTACTTTCCTGCTTAGCTAATCAACACTAAGAGCTTAATATGTACTTCATTTAAAACCTTTATTTAAATAGCACTTTTCTAAGATACACTACAAAGTGCTTCACAACAATAAACATAAAATAAATAAAAATATAAATGAATGAAAAACATTATAATAACAAACTAGATAATAGGAACTTATTAACTTTATTACTTTATTATCGAGGTGTGTTATTATAAAGTGTGGGATTTACACATATAAGAAACATCAAAGTAATTTTTAAAACCACCTATATTTAAACCCGAGTAATATTCTATATAAACCACCATAAAAATGTGTTTTTGACAGAATGTGTTATAAAACAGCTGCAATTTCTTCCAAAAATGTTACATCTAAAATTGCCCTAAATGGATTTACAGCCGTTTGGAGTGAAACAGATGCAGTAAAGCATCTACAGTCAGTACACGTTGGTGTTTAAATCAAGTGCAGAATAAACTGTGACTGATTACTCTAACAAATAAAACTCTTCACCTGTTTGTGTTAGATATGCTAATGAGCCCGTCTGAGTCAAATTAGCATAAACAACCTGATTTTCACAGAACTTGGCTGGGAAGATAGAACATTTACATGATGTGGAGGTTCTTTAAAACACATCTCACTCATTAAAATGTTCTTTAGAGAAGGAAAAGTGGTTCTTTTTGGCTCTTAAGAACCATTTTTGACCTCTAAATTTTGAGAATGTAGTTGTGCAGCCTGAACCTGGAGCGAGCTCATCTAAATAGAGTAGTGCTGCATTAATCACCTCACTGCAGTATTAAAGAATATTAAACTTTCTATAGGTTGTGCAAATCTAATCTGGTGTTTATATAAAATACTTGCTTTGTATTTTGAATGTCTGGTTCCTGTCACCACCACTGAACAATTCTGACTCGGTAAGTTTCTACTAAAGGGAGCGTTTCACACCAAACCACTCTGAACGGCTTTGGACAAATCTTTAAGATACCAGTAATGTGGAAATTTAGAAAATTCGGAAAATTTGAAAATTCAGATTTTTTTTTTTCATTCCGAAAATGTAAAAAATTCATTTTTTTTAATTCTGAAAATTTGCAATTTCTGAAAAAATATAAAAATCTGAAAAACATTTTGAAAATTCTGACAATTTGAAAAATCTGATTGTTTTGAAAATTCTAAGAATTTGAACTGAACATTTTACATTTTTACTCAATTTTGCAATATTTTGTGATAAATCCAGCTGTCTGAAGAATATATTATGATCTTTAGTAAACTTTCTTACAGATTGTGGAATGAATTTATTACGTGAGCAACATGAGGGAGCCGTCAAAACAGGTCCTGTCTATGAAGTGCCAGTTGATAATCCATCTTGCTGTGGCTCAGATTAAGCCCTGGACTTGTGTTTAATACACTGTACATATATAGTATGAAAGTATGTATAGTCTAATATAAATATGAGTATATAAATAGAAATGTGAAGTTTGGTCAGATACTGCACTTTTGATTAAATAAATAAGAGCAGCTCTGACCGCACAGTGCTGCTATATCTTAATGTCCACTCTTATTATTTAATGTCCAGCCATTAAATACAAGTTACTAATTTTTCAGCATCAAATTACCAATCATTTTCCACTCTGTACCTTTATTCCAGCTTCCATTCTTTTCAGGAGACTCACTTTCAGCTCCTCAAAGAATCTGCAGACACACCTCCAAAGTTCAGTCTTAGAAGCTGGTTGATCATTTTCTGAAGTAATCAAACACATTCAGTGGTGTTGAGGTCTGGACTCTGGGGTGGTCAGTCCATCGTTCAGCTTCTTTGTTTGATGTGTCCGTCTCCTTTTCTCAGTGAGGTTCTTCTTGAACAGCTACACATCCTTTCAGACCCACAGCGCTGAGTCGTCTTCTCACAGTGGAAGGATCCCTTCGTACCTTTATACACCTCTATAATTTCCTGTATGATCTTCAGAGGAGAACCGTGACCTTTTGAAATGTCGCGTGTGGGTTCTATGTGTTATTATTAGCGGTGATGAGTATTTGTGAATATAAGCCGCTCACTGTAGATTTAATTAAAAATCGTATTCAGTCAGGATGTTTTTATAAGAAGATTTCCATGCCTCAGTTGACTCAGACGCGTCTGTTTCACCATAAACGGAGCTAAAATAAATTATTTCTGTATTGAATTAAATTAAGAGTAATACCCTCTGCAGACAGAACAAAGCCTCCTCAAATATGCGGTTTAATTTGCTGTGTTTTTCACAAGATTTAACCCTCAGAAGCCCAGACAGATTACTGTTATTTCAGTTTACATTACTTAGTTCATTAAATCATTTAAATATAATTACATAATTACATAATAAATTGCATAAATTACAATATTGCATTATATATTGACTGGACTTCTGTTTGTTTTGATGCCAACAACGACAAAAATACGGCCCAAAACGACACAACAATAACTTTTCATCAGATGCAAATATTAATAAAAATGTCCTCTTTTACATCCTTAGGAAAGATGGTTCTTCAAGGGTTCTTTAGTAAAGAAAATAGTTCTATATAGAACCATGAACACTCAAAGAACAGCACCAAACAGGGTTCTTCTATTGTAAGCCTGACAATAGCAGAAACCTTTTTGGTGTGATACAGAACCATTTTCAAATAGGCTCCATATAGAACCATTTACAGCACATTCTCCATCAATCTGAAGAACCATTTCATGATGCAAAGAACCCTTTAATCATGCAAAGGGTTCTTTGAGTGTTATGGCTCTATGTAGAACCATTTTCTTTACTAAAGAACCCTTGAAGAACCATCATTTTAAAGTATCTCTGCTGAAGCTCTGAAGCTACTTGTTGCTGTTCTTGCTGTAATTTCATTTTTGGCTGGACTGACAGCTGCAAACTGCAGTCTGTCCCAGAAACACCTCAGAGACGTTTAATGGATAAAACAAAGTTAAAAATAAGCTCCGTTTCTTTTTTGACTTTTTATTTTTGACTTTGCTGAAAACCTAAAGAAACCCAACCGGATATTATAATATGATCTAATCTCGGAATACAGTGACCACATAAACAAGGTGGACAGAGGAGTTTATAGTAACTGTGTCTGTAATGTCCGTCTCACTGTCTCCCTGATAGGCCACTGTGGGACTGATCCGAAACTTGGCGCTGTGCCCAGCCAATCAGGCTCCGCTGAGGGAGGCGGGCGCCATCCCGCGATTGGTCAACCTGCTGCTGAAGGCCCATCAGGACACGCAGAGACTCGGATCCAGCGCTCAGCAAACGTACCAGGTCAGCACCGTAACACACACAAACCCTGGACGAGGTGAGTAGATCAGACTCAGTCAGCGCTCAGCTGGAAGAGTTTACACCTGAGGTAAATAACGACCGCAGGAGGAGTAAACGAACCCCCCGATACAGCTGAGTAGAGGAACAGACACAGCAGCTCAGAGACGACTTTAGTACTGAGTGATTAATCAAATAATAACAATTATAACTTTATTTATTCGAGCACCTTTCATACACAAAAACACAGCTCAACGTGCTTCACAGACAAATTAAATAAAACATCAAAATCATGTAAATAAAATAGAAATAATTGAAAGAAGTGTTTAATAAACATAGTTGTAACATAGGAGGTGGTGAGTTGCTTTTATTTAAATCAGACTTAACAGAAACTCAGTAGCAAAGGTTCGTAGCACAGATCAATCCATGATGACACAAAACAGAACTAAACCAGAATTAAAACCTAAGACCAGAGAAAACAGGCAACAGCATCAGGATCCATCGACAAGACAAGGGACTGAGCAGGTGGAGCAGGCGACAGGGGGCAGGACCAGGAAGGAGACAGACCAAAACAACAACAAAGGAACATGGCAGACATACAGAAACACACGGCACTGGGAAACCAGGAAAACAAAGGCAGAAACAGAGAGAGAGACAGAGAGAGACAGAAACAGAGAGAGAAACAGAGAGAGAGACAGAGACAGAAAGAGACATAGACAGAAACAGAGAGAGAGACAGAGACAGAAAGAGACAGAGACAGAAACAGAGAGAGAAACAGAGACAGAAACAGAGAGAGACAGAAACAGAGAGAGACAGAAACAGAGAGAGAGAGACAGAGACAGAAAGAGACAGAGACAGAAACAGAGAGAGACAGAAACAGAGACAGACAGAAACAGAGAGAGAAACAGAGACAGAAACAGAGAGAGAGACAGAGACAGAAAGAGACAGAGACAGAAACAGAGAGAGACAGAAACAGAGACAGACAGAAACAGAGAGAGAAACAGAGACAGAAACAGAGAGAGAGACAGAGACAGAAAGAGACAGAGACAGAAACAGAGACAGACAGAAACAGAGAGAGAAACAGAGACAGAAACAGAGAGAGACAGGAACAGAGAGAGACAGACAGAAACAGAGAGAGAAACAGAGACAGGAACAGAGAGAGACAGAGAGAGACAGAGACAGAAACAGAGAGAGACAGAAACAGAGACAGACAGAAACAGAGACAGGAACAGAGAGAGACAGAAACAGAGAGAAACAGGGAGAGACAGAAACAGAGAGAGACAGGAACAGAGAGAGACAGGAACAGAGAGAGACAGGAACAGGGAGAGACAGAGAGAGACAGGAACAGAGAGAGACAGAAACAGAGAGAGACAGAGAGAGAGAGACAGAGAGAGAGAGGAACAGAGAGAGACAGAAACAGAGAGAGACAGAGACAGAGAGAGACAGAAACGGAGAGAGACAGAAACAGAGAGACAGAAACGGAGAGAGACAGAAACAGAGAGACAGAAACGGAGAGAGACAGAGAGAGACAGGAACAGAGAGAGACAGAGAGAGACAGAAACAGAGACAGGAACAGAGAGAGACAGGAACAGAGAGAGACAGAAACAGAGAGAGAAACAGAGAGAGACAGGAACAGAGAGAGACAGAGAGAGACAGAAACAGAGAGAGACAGGAACAGGGAGAGACAGAAACAGAGAGAGACAGAGACAGAGAGAGACAGAAACAGAGAGAGACAGAGAGAGACAGGAACAGAGAGAGACAGAAACAGAGAGAGACAGAAACAGAGAGAGACAGGAACAGAGAGAGACAGAGAGAGACAGGAACAGAGAGACAGGAACAGGGAGAGACAGAAACAGAGAGAGACAGGAACAGAGAGAGACAGAGAGAGACAGGAACAGAGAGAGACAGAGAGAGACAGGAACAGAGAGAGACAGGAACAGGGAGAGACAGAAACAGAGAGAGACAGAAACAGAGAGAGACAGAGAGAGACAGAAACAGAGAGAGACAGAAACAGAGAGAGACAGAAACAGAGAGAGACAGAGAGAGACAGAAACAGAGAGAGACAGAAACAGAGAGAGACAGGAACAGAGAGAGACAGAGAGAGACAGGAACAGAGAGACAGGAACAGGGAGAGACAGAAACAGAGAGAGACAGGAACAGAGAGAGACAGAGAGAGACAGGAACAGAGAGAGACAGAGAGAGACAGGAACAGAGAGAGACAGGAACAGGGAGAGACAGAAACAGAGAGAGACAGAAACAGAGAGAGACAGAGAGAGACAGAAACAGAGAGAGACAGAAACAGAGAGAGACAGGAACAGAGAGAGACAGAAACAGAGAGAGACAGAAACAGAGAGACAGAGACAGAGAGAGACAGGAACAGAGAGAGACAGAAACGGAGAGAGACAGAGAGAGACAGGAACAGAGAGAGACAGGAACAGAGAGAGACAGAAACAGAGAGAGACAGAGAGAGACAGGAACAGAGAGACAGGAACAGGGAGAGACAGAAACAGAGAGAGACAGAGAGACAGGAACAGAGAGAGACAGAAACAGAGAGAGACAGACACAGAGAGAGACAGGAACAGAGAGAGACAGGAACAGAGAGAGACAGAAACAGAGAGAGACAGAGAGACAGGAACAGAGAGAGACAGGAACAGAGAGAGACAGAAACAGAGAGAGACAGGAACAGAGAGAGACAGGAACAGAGAGAGACAGAGAGACAGGAACAGAGAGAGACAGGAACAGAGAGAGACAGAAACAGAGAGAGACAGGAACAGAGAGAGACAGAGAGACAGGAACAGAGAGAGACAGAAACAGAGAGAGACAGGAACAGAGAGAGACAGAGACAGAGACAGAGACAGAGAGAGACAGAGAGACAGAGACAGAGAGAGACAGACACAGAGAGAGACAGGAACAGAGAGAGACAGAGAGACAGGAACAGAGAGAGACAGGAACAGAGAGAGACAGAGAGACAGGAACAGAGAGAGACAGGCTGTTACACTAGTAAATAAAATAGCCTCATCAGTTCAACCTAAAAAAATGTCTTAATGTGGTAAACAAGCAATAAAACTGATTTTATTAATATAAAAAATGACATTAATTGAAAGAATCGTTCATTTAAATATTTAGGTTGAATAAAATTCGTTAATTTACTCGTTACCACATAACGTAATTTGGTAAGGTTGATCTAATGAGCCATTGTTCGTCTGATGTTTAAAGCTGGTAACAGATGATGTCTGATGAGTATTAACTGGTAAAGAGTTCCAGATTTTGGTGTGTAGAAACAGAACGTCGCCTCACCGTCTTTTCTCCCTTCACCCTGAGAACATTCAGTAAACTAGAACTGCAGTAGAACTTCTTAGAACATCCAGCATCCATCAGCACAGAGACTGCAGGTTTTACAGCTCAGCTCTCTTTCTGATCTAAAATAAACACTAAAACTCCAAACTCAGAGATGAGGGTGCGTTCAGTCTCAAAGCGCTGTGCACCGGTACGTTCTGTTCAAACGCTGTGAAACGCTGTGAAACTGTGTGAAACGCTGTGAAACGCTGTGAAACGCTGTGAAACTGTGTGAAACGCTGTGAAACACTGTGAAACGCTGTGAAACTGTGTGAAACGCTGTGAAACACTGTGAAACACTGTGAAACGCTGTGAAACGCTGTGAAACTGTGTGGGACGCTGTGAAACTGTGTGCAGCAGCTTTGAGGTGTGTTTTCTCTGGTTTGATTGGCGTCGGAGGTGATAAACAAACACCACCGTATTAAAATGCACCGCTGCAGCTCAGTGAACACGACTATAGAAGAGTTTAGAAAACAAAAATATTATACTAAGACTGTGAGTAATCCAGGTTTAGAGACTCAGACTGTGATTAATCCAGGTTTAGAGACTCAGACTGTGAGTAATCCAGGTTTAGAGACTCAGACTGTGATTAATCCGGGTTTAGATACACAGACTGTGATTAATCCAGGTTTAGATACTCAGACTGTGATTAATCCGGGTTTAGATACGCAGACTGTGATTAATCCGAGTTTAGAGACTCAGACTGTGATTAATCCGGGTTTAGATACGCAGACTGTGATTAATCCGGGTTTAGAGACTCGGACTGTGATTATTCCGGGTTTAGATACGCAGACTGTGATTAATCCGGGTTTAGATACGCAGACTGTGATTAATCCAGGTTTAGATACTCAGGCTGTGATTAATACAGGTTTAGATACTCAGGCTGTGATTAATCCAGGTTTAAATACTCAAACTGTGATTAATCCAGGTTTAGATACTCAGACTGTAATTAATCCTGGTTTAGAGACTCAGACTGTGAGTAATCCAGGTTTAGAGACTCAGACTGTGATTAATCCTGGTTTAGAGACTCAGACTGTGAGTAATCCAGGTTTAGAGACTCAGACTGTGATTAATCCAGGTTTAGAGACTCGGGCTGTGATTAATCCAGGTTTAGATACTCAGACTGTGAGTAATCCAGGTTTAGAGACTCAGGCTGTGATTAATCCTGGTTTAGATACTCAGGCTGTGATTAATACAGGTTTAGATACTCAGGCTGTGATTAATCCAGGTTTAAATACTCAAACTGTGATTAATCCAGGTTTAAATACTCAGACTGTAAATAATCCTGGTTTAGAGACTCAGACTGTGAGTAATCCAGGTTTAGAGACTCAGACTGTGATTAATCCTGGTTTAGAGACTCAGACTGTGAGTAATCCAGGTTTAGAGACTCAGACTGTGATTAATCAAGGTTTAGAGACTCGGGCTGTGATTAATCCAGGTTTAGATACTCAGACTGTGATTAATCCAGGTTAAAGAATCAGGCTGTGATTAATCCAGGTTTAGAGACTCAGACTGTGATTAATCCAGGTTTGGAGACTCAGACTATAATTAATCCTGGTTTAGAGACTCAGACTGTGATTAATCCAGGTTAAAGAATCAGGCTGTGAGTAATCCAGGTTTAGAGACTCAGACTGTAATTAATCCTGGTTTAGAGACTCAGACTGTGATTA